TTTATAAAACCGAAAAAAAGCTTAAAGAATTAAAACTCGAAGAACCGACAACTGATGGGGAAGAAAGGTTCTTGGGTAGCTGCCTCGTACCAGTGGGCGAAGTTTGGGGCGGCCCCCACTAGATGGAGTGACGACCTGGTAAGACATGCAGGAAGTTGATGGATGCATGTGACAACGTCAAGAAATCTCCCTCGAAGGTTTTCTGTCTAAGGTTTCCTGGATTGTCACCCTAATATGTATAAAAAAAGCTTAAAAATCACGCTGTATAAATATATTATCATCATTCAATTTACTCGAGAGGCCGGGTCATCGCCTCACTTGCGGTATCTAGAGCATATTATATACTTATTGCGTGAAGCCCTTGTATGCTCTTCGTGGCCATAGCGGTAGTTTATCTCGTTTTTCATTCTTCGTTAGGAACAACTCAATGAGAAATAAACTTTCAATAAATAGTAAAAGTAGACAACTAAAACATCTAATACAAGTATATAATATTAAAAAGTTATAACAGAGAAAAACTAAAAATAAAAACTTAAATTGTCATACAGTCCTACTCCCCGTGGTATAATGCCAAGAACGCTGGCTGCGTTTCCTCGCTGAATGTCTATATTTAGCCTTTGATCGAACTAGAACCGGCCCTCTTATCACCTGCAGCAATGATCAGACGCCGATACAGTTAGGAACTTCACTGCAAATGGATCTCAAGGATCGATAGTCTCTACAGCAAATGGCACAAATATGCAGACAGACTTTCAGAGACTCATATTTGCGCCACTTACTAAGTTCAGCTGCGTCTGATGTCACCCCGGCGCAAAAAATTATTTCACATTCTAAACACCGGTGCTAAGACCTATCTATGATAGGTAGATAGGTGTTAGGTTTGCTATCAACCTATAGCTAGCTATAATGGATTGCTATATATAGCATAGTGTAGGCAGTATACTGCCTATACTGTGGCATAGTCTCCTGTTCTACAGTATAGGAGAATTAAAGCCCCGACTTCAGAATGTAATAGTTTGCATTCCTTAAGCGCAAAGCGCGTAGGTATGTTCTACTAGCGCCTAAAAATCAAAATTCCAACGTTTTGTCGCATAAAATCGTATCTAACAATCATATTGAACATATAAATGATATAAAAAGCACATTGTCAGAAAGATAAATTATTGTTGAAATTATTAATGTTTTTTTGAATCTATTAATTGTTAATTTTACATAAAAAGGTGGTTTTAGTGGCGTAGATTTATCAAGTCAAGTCATGGGGTGGTAAACATGATAACTTTTGAAAATATTAATTGTTTAACTCAATCTATTTTTTAATCTTTTCATCTATCACGTGGGAAGCCATGGAATGTAAATGGCAGTATAATTTTGTTTTGTTTAGTTATAATACATTTTTTTCGGCTGAGAAATGTCGACATTTTCGGTCTTTTAGCAGTCTTGTATTAATTTATTTTACTAAATAGACTGCGGCAGTCAACCGCTGTCGTGAGTGGATACTGTATTGGTTGTTTGCAGCGGCTCAAAAAGATGAATACAAAATATTCCAAAAACCAAATTTCATACATACTTGATTATTATAATAATTAGAGATTTTAATTACAATATTTTAAAAGTACAGAATAAATAATAGTTGTACGTACTAAAAGTAAGTAGGATGAATACATTCAAGTATATTTATATTTAAATACGTCTTGGACTTCATGGAATTACCTGAATGATGATATGATGATCGTATAAGGATTATGAGTCGTGCACTTTTGGATTTTCCAAACTTTTTTTAAATTGAAGTTTGACATAAAATTATTGGAAAATTGGAAGTATAATAATAAAGTTATTAGTGAAAACTTGTGTGTATTTAAACTACTTTAAAAAAATCACTATATTCATGTTATACTTAATTTTTTTAATACGCTTAGGGCATGCAAAATTGGATTTACCAATAGTTTTTTTAGTTATATGAATTAGGTTTTTAACCTTATAATTAAAGTAAATTTTTTTTCGAGGGTGTAAGGAATATCACAATCTGGATGTTGTTTAAATAGTTAGTTACATTAAAATCTATAAGCCCTTATTTTCTCCAAATTTATATATGACCACTGCTACTTAACAAAAACAGAATCGTAAAAATTGGTTCATGACTGACGAAGTTATCGCGTAACATACATACAAAAATAGTTACAGCCTATATACGTTCCACTTCTGGGTACAGGCCTCCTCTCATTTCTGAAAGGGTTTTAGGGCAAGGAAATTTCCGCTGTGCTGCTCCAATGTGTGTGTTGGCGAACTTCCCATGTCTTCGAAATTATTTTTTTTTATTTCTCAGATATGCGGGTTTTCTTATGATGTTTACCTTCACCGCCGAGCAAGAGGTAAGTCAGCACTTAAAACCCATCATCATCATCATCATCATTACAGCCTTTCACAAGAATATCACAAAGCACGGTCCTGAAGCACCTGCATCCATCGTCGTCCGAACCATCCTGCACCGTCTAGTACGTGGTAAATCATCACCTAAAATTGCATTTAATAATTTCATTGGTGCTGGCGGGGATCGAACCCGGTTACTCACGTACTGTAATATTTATTTACAGCGAGAGCTTAGCTCCTGAACTACTCGTACCACGGCTCTCATACAAATCTAATAGAGTAGGATTGACAGCCTCTGCTTTTTTTTAAAGGCGGCTATAAAAAATCTTATAAAACAATTATTATCCAAATAAACAAAGTACGTGTTTCGAGTGCAGGATGCGGGTAAGTTATTAACGTGGTAGAACCACACTGCACCTATATATTATGGTTGCAGAACGAACAGGACGACTCTACGGGGAAAGGACCACTCTCTCACAGAATACAAGCGTAAAATAGCAGCATAATTCTGCTGTTTCGTATGGTGAGTGTAGAGAACCGGAGACCCTTTTTAAACGATTCCATCTTGGTTTTCAGGGGTGACGACGCATCTGAATTTTAATTGTTAATCGAGGATAAATGTATATAATAATAATAATAATTTATTGCTTTAAAATAAGAACTAAGTTGTTACAATATTGTTGGGTACTCTCTTTTAAGTAAATAGATACCTGTAGTAGAGGGACCCGCTCTTCCGTAGTACAATTATATTACTACACTAAATTAAATTAGAATTAAATAAAAAAGCTACAAAATTTAAAACTTGCAGTAAGGTATAATTACTAATATTTGCATGATTGTGTAATACGTGCGTGCGTGCGTGCGTGCGTGCGTGCGTGCGTGCGTGCGTGCGTGCGTGCGTGCGTGCGTGCGTGCGTGCGTGCGTGCGTGCGTGCGTGCGTGCGTGCGTGCGTGCGTGCGTGCGTGCGTGCGTGCGTGCGTGCGTGCGTGCGTGCGTGCGTGCGTGCGTGCGTGCGTGCGTGCGTGCGTGCGTGCGTGCGTGCGTGCGTGCGTGCGTGCGTGCGTGCGTGCGTGCGTGCGTGCGTGCGTGCGTGCGTGCGTGCGTGCGTGCGTGCGTGCGTGCGTGCGTGCGTGCGTGCGTGCGTGCGTGCGTGCGTGCGTGCGTGCGTGCGTGCGTGCGTGCGTGCGTGCGTGCGTGCGTGCGTGCGTGCGTGCGTGCGTGCGTGCGTGCGTGCGTGCGTGCGTGCGTGCGTGCGTGCGTGCGTGCGTGCGTGCGTGCGTGCGTGCGTGTGGTCTGTAAGTCTGTAATATTCGTAGGTTACTGTATATTTTCTACGTCTAGTCGTTGATGATGGTTGGTATTTTAGGGAACTATGAAGTATTAAAACGGTTGCTAAACTGTAAAGTTTTCTTACCGAAAGTAAATTTCTCAATTCATATAGTTCAGTTGTAGTGAATCGATAGGGCTTTAAGAACATAACTTTAACTAAGCACCGTTGAGCTCTTTCAAGCTCAAGGAACCTGGTTTTTGCTGCACCACCCCATATAGGAATACAGTAGCCTACCATTGACTGAACCAGAGCTATGTATATTTTATTAAGTAAGGACTTCGTGGAGACACGACATGTCTCCACGTGTGACTTAAATATCCAAATAAGTTTCCTGAGCCGAGTTGTCATTAATTCTAGGTGTGAATACCAAGACTGTCTTTGGTCAGCCATTACTGCTAGATACTTTATATTCAAGACTTTATTTATTTGACAGCAGTTACAACTAGAGCTATAGACGACAGCGCATTCATTAATTTGAAAATCAGGTGTAGGTTGAGTGCTGTTGTACATGGTAAAGCAAATATATTTAGTTATGGGTCACAACATTCATTTACCATCAGGTGGTAGCATACCACCAGTTTGTCACCGTTATATACTACATTATAAATAATATTCAATCATGCTTGAACTGTGGGACAGATTCTAATGAAATCATAGAAGTCGATTATGTCGCGTAAAACACATAGACACTTTTATAATAATTATGATTCTGTTAAGATACAGTCTATGTTATGCTTCCTACAGTTGGGCACTAGTCCCCTTTATTTTCTGCAAAGGTTTTCGAGCCGATATCAATGCCGCGCTTTTCTTCGCTTCACCACCTTCGTTTACATCATTACTTATCATTAGGTGGTGGTAGTCAACCACTACACGGGTGTTTTATAATAGATGAAAAATATGTCTTTGAAATTTAAATTACTCAAAAATGTTGGTTTCCTCAATCAATGTTTTTCTTCACCGTCTTAACTTTGCAAGCGACAATTCCACCGGCGAGTTCTCAGCCCCTAAGCTATGATGGTTTCGTATGTCCATTATATCACACTAAGAAATCTTTCTACAGCCGATCAAGCCTTCATAGGCCCTCAATTTTGACAGCCGCCTATACGTCGGTTATCCGGGCGTTTGCGGGTTAACCAAACTTGGCAATGCCACGGTCATCGCTCATCGGTCAGTCAGTGCATTTCGGAGCGCAGTCCGCGACGGGCGGTTTTCTGCGCTTCACCTCTGCTAGCACAGTACTCGCACGTCTGCAGTAGATCGTTTTCGTAGATGTGAAATTATTTTAAAGTGCTGTATTGAAAGATGGTTTGTAAGGTCGCACCGAGGGATAGTACTCGTAAGTTTAAAAATATTTTTAAAATAAAGTTTTATTTTAATTTCTGTACACTATACATATTAAATTTTCATAATTTTACTATACCAATAATGAAATTTTAAATTATAACAGTACTCTAATTTTAATATTATTTTATTCGACAATATTAAAATAAAAAATATTTTATTTAAAACTATCTTATTTACTATATTCTAAACTAGCTGTTCCCCGCGACTTCGCCCGCGTGTAATTTAGGATTTTAATTATATTGCTCAAAACCATAATTCTTTTTCTCAAATATAAGTAGCTTAAGTTACTGCTTAGAATATCAGCTATCTGCCAGTGAAAATCCCGTCGAAATGGGTCCAGCCGTTTCGGAGATTAGCCGGAACAAACAAACAGACAGACAGACAGACACACAAAAATTAAAAAAATTGTGTTTTTATTATAAGTATCGTATATACATTCCATATGCATTTAGTAAAAAGCTGTTATTAATTGTGTTACGTTACAAACAGACACTTCAATTATATTTATTTGATAAAGGTTCAACTATGTGTTCTGTAATTAATTAGGTATATATTTTTTTTAATTATAATGCAATAAACGACAGTAGCCTAATGGCAGGGTGAGGACCTTGAACTCAAAAGGTTGTGGGTTCGAATCCGGCATCCGACTACTGTCGTGAACCACTCCTAGCACAAACATTTTAGGCTTACCAGAAGTGGTTAACGGGAATAGTAGTAATGTTAATAACATTACTAGTATTTTTTTAAATTTAAATATATTTCAGAAAACTTATATTAATTCTTGTGGTAAAATCACTACTGAAATTATATTAAGTACATTTTATAACTAGCTGACTCGGGTTCGCTCGCGTTTAATTCGGAATAACGCATATTTATTTAAATTTTTATTGAAGGCTCCGTGGCGCAGTGGCTTAGCAATGAGTTGCTTCGCTGGGAGCTGCGGGTAAGAATCCAGCACGGAACAAATATTTGTATGTACAAATAATAAAACAAATAATTGTTCCGGGTCTGGATGTTTGTCCTTGTGCAATTTGTGTTTGTAAACTGCCTCCACGATACAGGAGAAAGTCCTAAGAGCGTGGGTAACGTTTTAAAAAAAATATATTTTCAAAATATTGCGAAAGAAAAGAATTACTTTAAAAAATGCACGGTAAAATATTATTTAACAATTACTTCATTTATAATTTGATGAAAATTAAATTGACTTAAAATTTAAATATATTGTTATTATTTTATATTGATATAAATAAAAAAATGTTATCAGTTTGGTCAGAGTATGTCCATAAGAGGCAGTCAACTAGGAGATTACTTACGTCTCAATTATTAGAAATACGGTTTATTTATGAACCTTGACAACAGCGCCACCTACCGGGTGCAATTGTGAATCTAAATGATTCTTTAACCAACTTATTCTTACACAAAATTTTTCAAAATCGGTCCAGCCGTTTAGGAGGAGTTCAGTCATGTACACACGGACAGAAGCATTATGTACTATACTAGAGATCCGCCCCGGCTTCGCATCGGTGATTTCGGGATCTGGACGATAGCGAAACCTACCGGGTCCAATTGTGAATTGTTTAGATAATCCATATCAAACACACACAAAAAATTTCATCAATATCTTTTATATATAAATATATTGTGATTTATTATACGTATAAGCCTTCCTCTTAAATTATTCTATCTATTGCTAAAAGTTGCATTAACATCCGTTGCGTAGTTTAAAAGACCTCAGCGTACAGACGACGGGAAGCGACTTTGTTTTATACTATGTAGGGATGTACCGAGTTCATAGTGAAAATAAATTTTAACCGCAGTTAAACATAACAAAGCTGCTGTTACTGCTGAACCTACAGCCTATCTCCTAGTTTGTTTCCCTCTGTTACCTCTTACAAAATTAAGCCATGGGATGATATTGAGTACTGGATGTCCTTACACCGCCACTACACAGACTAAACCTAGACCGTGTCATTCGGGAATAATGTAATTATTTATAAGTGAAAGAGTTTTCAGAATCGAATCAGCGAATTCTGAGATTACCAATTATTATAAGATAGAGTGACGAGCGAGCATACAGTCCACCCGATGGTAAGTGGTTGCTGTGGCCCATAGACATCTACATCTATCCTCAATTAAGGATCAAAACGCAGATACGTTGTCACCCGTGAGGACTACGATGAAAGCAGCAGACATAGGCTGAAATGGATGGGATGGATTGATTCGTTTATGTCATCATCAACAACGGTTCAGCAGGTTACATCACTTGGAACGCAAGTGAGCCGTATTGTAAAATGCAACTTGTGATTGCAGCTAACCATTGTTATCGTAAACGCTTATAAAACGCGATAAAAACGTTGAAACACCGCAAATGTAATTAATATCAGCTGAAAATTTAAGTGTTTATTTTTCAGTGAGCGTAACTTTTACACAAATTAAGTTTTTCTATAGAATAAAGGTCATAAGAGTCACAAATGAGTACACAGTCCAAGTAATTGACGTAAATTGTAAATTGACGTCTACACTTATCTTCGATTAAGAATCAAGAAGGAATGCCTCGTTTCCAGAAAAATGGATCTCTACACTCTACACTTACCATACGAAACACAGCAGCATTAAGCTGCTATTTTACTCTAGTATTCAAAAACAAAAAAGTGGGCAATTTGCTGGTTGAATTTGGATATCTTGTAATGATAATGAAAGTCGATATTTAAAGTATAGTATGGGATTCACGTGCAGTGAAGTTCCTAAAGAAACTGTATCCGCGACTTGCCGTCGCCGCTGGTGGTAAGAGAGCTGGTCCTTTTCTCGCTCAAAGGCTGAGTATAGCTGTTCAGCGAGGAGTCGCAGCCAGTGTTCTTTGCACTATATCGTAGTGAATAGGACTGTACGATAATAATATAGGCTTTTAGTTTTAGTTTTATATTATCGCAATAAATAATGTATAATTTCGTTTTTGTTTTTCGGGGGGACGCAGGTTTGAATCCCGCACTGGATGTTTGTCCTTGTGCAATTTATGTTTCTAAACTATCTATACGATGCAGGAGAAAGTCCTACTGGAAAATCTTACTGGGGTAACGACTTTTAAATAGAAAAATAATGTATAATATTTTTTTCATATGATATGGGTGACACGACATAGAACGAGGCCACAACCCACCTGATGGTAAGTGGTTGCTGTGACTTATAGACATCTACATCTATCCTCGTTTCCAAATCGAAATGTCACCCGTGAGGACTAAGATGGAATGCCTCTTTTCCAGTAAAAAGGGTCTCCGGTTCTCTACACTCACCATACGAAACACAGCATTGTTAAGCTGCTATTTGACGCTGGTATTCTGTGAGAGCGTGGTCCTTTCCCGGTCGAGCCGACCCATTCGTGCTACAACTATACTACTAATATAGCTGTAGCATGGCTCTACCACGTATAACCAACTACTGCTGGCCGCACCTAGTTCTAGCCGTTCTAGAATTAGGTGTAACCGCGCTTCGGCTTTTAGCAGTAACACATATATTAATCAAAAATATTTAGTACCAGATAAGAACCGGTAACATTCATTGCTATGCGGACGACAGCACTGGTGATGCTTTATACACCGGCCATGCCAATATTTTCCGGGAAAATGTCGCCGAGAACCAGAGAAAACTTGTGTCTAAAGTCGAGACTTTGTTGAAAAACGTCTCGGACTGGGGGCGACTAAATCTAGTCCAGTTTAAGCACAAGTAACACAAGTTTGTGCGTTTACCGCTAAAAAGAACCCCTTCGTCGTATCTCCTCAGTTTCAAGGCACTCCCCTAGTTGCCTCAGCGAGCATCGGAAGCGTCCGCGTCGACATATTGAGTGACGTGCAGGTTCTTGGTCATTTGGAAGAGAAGGCAAACTTTGCCTCTAAAAATCTTGGTGTTCTCAGCAGAGCGAGACAGTATTTCATGCCGGCACACCGCCTGCAACTTTACAAGGCACAGGTTCGGTCTCACATGGAATACTGTTCCTATCTCTGGGCAGGGGCTCCCCAGTCAGCCGTTCGAATCGTCAGCGACCGGGCTATTTTCGATCGGCTTGACTCACTGGCACTGCGAAGAGATGTTGCATCTCTTTGCATTTTTATCGCATCTACCAATGGGAGAGCTCTGAGAAATTGTTCGGACTAATTTCAGCCGCTCAATTTCACCTTCGCACATCGCGACAACTCGCGATGGCATCCATACTATCTGGATCATTTGCGGTCCACCACTGTGCGATTTTTAAGAAAATTTTTTCCTTGCACTTCCTTGTGGAATCAAATACCACCAACAATTTTTCTGTACCGTTATGACTTCGGGACCTGCAAGAAAAGAGCTTACTCTTTTTTAAAAGGTCGGCAACGTACCTGCGATTCCCTTGGTGTTATCATTAGCTCGTTTGCCTCCTCTTCTATAATAAAAGATAATTTTCTGATTTTTAATATTTAGGGCATTTATATTACAGGCATCATTCAAAAATACGTATAGGCAGAGTATAAGGCAGAGAGCTGACTATCATTCTCAAAATGCCGCTCGCTAAAATCTAACGAATTCCATATAATACCTACATCGAAATCTTCCGAATGATTGACTCTCCGAGTTACATCTGTTTATGTTATTAATTATCTTGAGCTTCTCAGCATACAGTTGAACCGAAAGCACAATATGCGGCCAAAAAACTGCATATTATAAACAAGGTGATGCGATACTTTACGCTCAAGTCTGAACATGCAAGGAGTATTGTAGTCACTTTCGAGATGGCTGAGCAAAATATCAACTTTCCGCACTCGACTCAGTGGAACGCAGAGCGAAGAGGCTTATCGGCGAAAAAAGCTGGTGGAAACTAAGCTTCACAGCTTAGCTCACCGCCGTCAAGTTGCATGTTTGTCGGTATTCTACAGATTGAACTTCGGATAGTGTGCCCGTGAGCTTCATAAGCTCATACCACCATCTCCGTTCGTCTACCGGAGTACCAGACCTACTGCAGGTTACCATCCACACTTGGTTGACATTCCGAACATTCGCACTAAGCGCTATATGTCATCTTTCATAATGCACACAGCCAAGGAGTGGAATGCCCTGCCGGCGTTTGTTTTTCCGATTACCTATAAACCTGGAACTATTGAAGATGCGTGTTAACAGGCTCCTCCTCCATCGGAGACCTCATCCTTACCCCCGAAACTGATGGATAAAAAAAATTAGCTTATTTTTAATTTAAAAAAATCCCCCGGAGCCATGCCTGCAAGAAACGTTTGCTGGTTACTACGCCAATGCTCGCGATACCAGATAACTCGTACCTTTTACTCTAATTGTCGCTTTACAACATCAATCTAATACTATCTAATAATAGTATTATATAAAAGCTTTTAGAAAAATTTACTTCGCAAATATCCGCGTTATAAAATAAAATGATGTGTCTGACCTAGTATGGAGAGCACCTCCCGCCCTCCCTCAATTGCGTGCACTATCCCCGTCACCACTACTCCAACACCACCGCTACTCCCAACACCACTACACTAGGCAAGGCACACCACTGACGACAATACGACACGTGTTTCGCCTCTACACGAGGCATCCTCAGGTGATATAGACCGTAGAGTTAGCCACCATGGATTTCCGCAAAGTAACGCCTGATTCTATCAATTATAATAATATTATAAAGAGAGAGGGCGAATATTCTGAGTTTGGAAATATAGAGAGGGTAACTATATTTGTATGTAAGAAAAATTCTTTCACCATTTGAAAGTTACGTTATTGCAGTTGGACATAGGCTACATTCCGCATTATTTTTCAAACAGTAGCCAAATTTTAAACTTAAGTTCAAATATATAAATAATGATATACCGTTGTTGCAGTTTTTGAAAATATGACTAAATAAGACTTCATCGGAATGCTCACATACTTCATCTTTCTTCTCTTTAATCCTTCTTACCTCAAAAACCGTTTTGAGTTTCTTCATGATTCACATTCGCGTAACTTGAGATCAGCAGAGAGTTTGAAGTTGAATTTGCCACTATACACTAGAAAATTTATGAACAAGTCTTTTACTGTACAGGCCGTTCATTTATGAAATGAACTCCCATTGTCTGTAAAACGCGCACCATCTCTACCGGTATTTAAAAGACTAGTTAAGAATCACTACCTCGCACTTTAAATTCTAACTTCACTTCCACACTAGCCATTAATAATATAGTATGTGTAAGTATAGTATGTATATGTGTTTATTCTTTTTTATCTCTTTTTTTCTCTAACACACCAATTTGCCCTGCCCTTGTCATATTCGTGCAATCCTGTCCATTCATTGGTTGTCTGGAAGAAATTGCTATCAGCAATAAGACCGCCCATTGCATACTTCTTTTATATATATAATTTCTGTAATTTATGTATGGTGTGCAATAAAGAATATTAAATAAATAAATATGGCTTCCACTTTAATTTGAAATTATCCCGAATTGAATGTGATTTATGGGAAACAACGTTTTTGCCTACCGATCGATCCTTACGAATGTGTGTGTGCGCAGTAAAATCAGTTAAAATAATGTATTTTGAACTTGAAAGATAAAAAGGACAGAATGTTTGAGATTTTTTTATAAATAAGTTTTTCTTCACCGTGTGGTACCATAAAGTTTTAAAATAAATTGTACCTGCCTGTCATTTAAAATAGATCAACCCGCGCAAAGCCAAGGCGGGCTGTCTAGTATAAATATATCTATACATAATAAGCGAAATACCACTGACTGACTCATCACGAGATCTCTAAAACTATATACCCCATTGACCTGAAATTAATTTGACGCTCACTAGGAACGGATTTTACGATAGCGCCATCAAAAAAAAAATCTTGATATTTTACATGTAGATTCCGCAATAAAATATTATCGTGCGCTCAGTGAAGCGAGCGGGTATCAGCTAGTGCAATATACAATTATAATAAACCTGAGAATTAATAATTTTTGTTTGTCTTTTTCAGCTACGCACAGGACAGTCAACGACACTCATGAACAAAACCAAGGCGTGGCAGACTATGAAACGGCCTTGGACTCCGCAGGTAAGGTTATTCTTTTCTTATGGTTCCGTACCTAAAGGGTAACCAACTGGACCCTATTACTAAGCCTCCGCTGTCCGTCCGTCTGTCCGTCAACGGGCTGTATCTTATGATCCGCAATAGGTAGACAGTTGAAATTTTCACAAGTATGTGTATTTCTGTTGCCGCTATAACAACAAATAAAGTAAAGTAAAGTTGCAGCCTATTTACGTCCCACTGCTGGGCACAAGCCTCCTCTCGTTTTTGAGAGGGTTTTAGGGCAAGGAAATGTCCGCCGCGCTACCCCAATGCGTGTTGGCGAACTTCACATGTCTTCGAAATATTTTTTTTCTTATTTCTCGGATATGCAGGAAATCATCACTTAAAATTTCAATTAACAATTTCATTTGTGCCGGCAGGGATCTAACCCGGGTTGCTCGAGTACTGTGAAGCTTACAGCGAGCGCTAACCATCTGAGCTACCACGGCTCTATATAATAAAATAATAAATATAAATTAAAAATTAAAGAGGGCTCCCCTAATAGAAACGTGTTTTACGATGGTACGGAACCCTTCATGTGCGAGTCCGACTCGCAGTTGGCCGGCTTTTCTTCTTACTGCATTCCATGAACGAGAGAACTTCAAACACAGAAGGCTAAAGAGGCGTCATCATTTATGAGGACTGATATGCAATGCCTCACATTATGTAATTATAGTTATACAGGATCTCTATATCCTATGGACCAAATCGCAGCAGTGCAAGCAAAAATAGGTAAGAGGACCCGCCGTAGTTAAATGCAGCCCTACTTACTAACGAAAGTAGACGGCAATTCTATGGACAAAATCGGAAAGATTATAAAGAATATTAGCCAGCTTGGATAGTCAGCTATTGAATTAGATTTCGCTGGATAATACTTGTAGTAATTAGTTAGGTAATTAGTAAAATTAGCTTGGTATGTATCTATGTAACGGAATTTTTGAATGTGATTTTCATACCCTTCAAAACGTCGGATTGATTTGAAACTTCGCACACTTATCAAGGACCGATGACAATGCAATAATTTAAATATGTTGTCCCATTATCATTGCCAGGATCTTTAGGATTTGCTAATAATTCATAAGACAACTACGATTTCTGCCAGTTCAATCTACTATAAGCTGTGTAAAAGAACTTTGTTCCAAAAATACACCACCATTAGTTATTTCCATTAGTTAGCCGCACTAAAAAAATAGGAAATAAATAATAGTTTATTAAAACTAGCTTTTGTAGATATACGAACTAAAAAAAGAAAATAAATTTCAATAAGTTTAAAATAAGAAAATAGTAATTAACATAAAAAAATAATTTTATTGTAAAATGAATTTTTTCTGTTATTAAATTCGGTTTATTGTTATTTGTATAACATATATGATTGTAAGCTGTATTTTCTTAAATAAGTCCCGCTGGTTTTCTTGCCAGTACAGAGGTTCTTTTTCCGAAGCAGTGGTAATTAAACATATGAGGGACTGGTTTACATAATGATTTCTTATATTTACGCGAACACTACACATTTTTAAATAAAACTAATTTTGCGGATTTTATCGCGTATATTAACTTATTTTTATATTCCCGACGTTTCGGGTGCTTTCCAGCACCCGTGGTCACGGGGGACTGAGTTGTTTGACGTCCTGCTGTCATAGTTAGCCCGGCTACCTTCAGTTTTTTAATATTAATTTTTTTTTTTAATTTTTGGTTCGATTTACGCAGAATGAGCTTACAGTATCTTGAAGTAAATCGAACCAAAAATTAATATTAAAAAACTGAAGGTAGCCGGGCTAACTATGACAGCAGGACGTCAAACAACTCAGTCCCCCGTGACCACGGGTGCTGGAAAGCACCCGAAACGTCGGGAATATAAAAATAAGTTAATATACGCGATAAAATCCGCAAAATTAGTTTTATTTAAAAATATGAGGGACTTTCAATAAGTATAATTTATAACCTACATTGAATAAAAAAGTTACTGTTTCTGTTTCTATAGAGCCATAGTAGCCCAGGCGCTAAGTGCTCGCTGTAAATTTCACACAACGCGAGCCACCCGTGTCCGATCCCCACCTGATTTCCCACGTGCTCGGCGGTGAAGGAAAATATCGTGATGAAAGTTGCAAGTGTGAAAAATAACAAAAAATATTAGTATTATTAGACATGTTATGAAGTTCACCAACACGCATTGGGACAGCACGACGGATATTTTATTGCCCTAAAACCCTATCAGAAATGAGGGGAGGCCTGTGCGCAGCAGTGGTACGTATATAGGCTGTAACGTTAACTTTTTAACTTTTAATACTTACGTAACTTTTTTTTCACCAGAGGAATTTTTTTATAAAAATGAAGTGTAAAACGATTTTTTCCCACAGCAGAGCATTTTGACACCTGCAATTAACTTCAAATGAAAAGGCTACAGGAGTGATGTGTTTGTTGTTATAAACGAGGTTTCTTGTTATAAAACATAAATAACGTTTACGCGTGGTAGAGCCATGCTGCAACTGTGATAAGTTTGTATGTATCAAGAGATCGGCTCAACCGAGGTAGGACCACGCTCTCACACAATACCAACGTAAAATAGAAGCATAACACTGCTGTGTTTCGTATGGTGAGTGTAGAGAACCGGAGACCCTTTTTACTGGAAAAGAGGCATTCCATCTTAGTCCTCACGGGTGACAACGCATCTGAATTTTGATTTGGAAACGAGGATACATGTAGATGTCTGTGGGTCACAGCAACCACTTACCATCTTATCCATACCATATATACACATATAGTATATATACCATACTTACCATCAGGTGGATTGTGTCCTCGTTCGTCAACCTTATTCAAAATTAAGTTTTTTTTTTTTCATCGTTTTTAGTATCCGTATTAAATCTCTATGCAATAAATCTAGATTAAGACGCGAAGTCTATGATTACTCATAATTTTTGTTTTATACAAGATATGAACATAATGTGCCGCATTCACGCTGTTTTGAATTACGTCTTGAATTCCACATTCATCGCAATTTCTAGCTTAGTTAGTGTTTAAACTTAAACAATCCGACGTCGGGATGTGCGACCCGTACTTGTAAGTACGTGTGGCGATTATAAACAAATATATTAACTATCTTGATAGAAATATTTTGTATTATTGTAATTGGCAGCTGCTGCTGTTTTGGTGCTGTCCTATAATGTCTAATAAAGCGCAATCTTTAAACGTGGTAGATCCATTTTTTTATAGGATAAGGGTGACAAACGAGCACATAGTCCACCTGATGGTAAGTGGTTGCTGCAGCCCATAGACATCTACATCTATCTTCTATTACAAATCAAAATGAAGATGCGTTATCACCTTGAAATGCCTTTTTTCCAGTAAAAAGGGTCTCCGGTTTTCTACACTCACCATACGAAACACAGCAGCGTTAAGCTGCTATTTTACGCTGGTATTCTGTGAGAGCGTGGTCCTTCCCCGGTCGAGCCGACCCATTCGTGCTACAACTATACTACTAATATAGCTGCAGCATGGCTCTACCATGTTCAAAGCTCCATATAAGATCCATGCTGCAGCTATATAAAACCAGCAGTTTGTGGATTTGCACTAACTGTTTAGCGGCGGAGTAAGAATATCCACTACCCCACATCGTCGCGAGGGTGTCGTAAGAAGCGACAAAGGGAATATTAAACAGGAGATGGGCAGCAGCATCTTCCTGATAATAACTCAAAATAATAAAAAACTTCGGTTGCCGATCCGCTTGCCAGACGTGGCAATGATGACAAAATCTCCCTTAGAGGCAGTAGTAGTCTAGCGGTCTTTGAAGTACCTGACCACTGTCAAACAATATCAAACAAAGAAGTGCATTGCTGGGCTTCTCGTGTTGTTGGGAGAATTCGCCTTAATCGCCACGCTTGGCAAATGGATTGAACATTGCAATACCAGACGTAAATCTTTGCAGCTGCTGCCCGTCACCGGTCTTTAAATTTCACGTCTGGCACACACGCGATGGGATCCAAAAAGTCATAACATTAAATAGGTAAAAGTTAAAAGTCATAACATAAATAACATTATAATGCTGCGTGAGTGTAGAGAACCGGAGACCCTTTTTACTGCAAACGAGGCATTTCATCTTAGTCCTCACGGCTGACAACGCATCTGCGTTTTGATTCTTAATTGAGATGATGATTGATGTCTATGGGCCCTAGTATCCACTTACCATCAGGTGGACAGTGTGCTCGTTTGTCGCCCTTATTCTATAAAAAAATGTCTATAATTTCTCACGTCACCCTCGACGAACTGGGCTGATAGATTATCTTCAAAGAAATGGGCTGACACATTCTCTTACCCTGCCACGAGCCACGATACGCAGTAAATTGACCGTTACCGTTATCGTAACAACCTATTAAAGTCCACTGCTGAACATAGGTCTCATAGGGGAGATATTTGTCATAGTCATAATGTTATGTAATATATGTTCAAAATTTCGCATCTCAGTGGGTCATGTGCTCCTGGTAGATTATCTTCTATACATCCATCCATTACAGCCTATTAAAGTACATTGCTGAACATAGGCCTCACCCATAGATTGCCTCATAGGGAGGATATTTGCAATAGTTGTAATGTTATTGTTGATTTGAAAATTTCACCTCTCTGTGGGTCATGTGCTCCTGATAGATTATCTTCTATACATCCATCCATTACAGCCTATTAAAGTCCACTGCTGAACATGGGCCTCCCCCATAGATTGCCTCATAGGGAGGATATTTGCCATAGTTGTAATGTTACTGTTGATTTGAAAATTTTACCTCTCAAAGATAATCTATCAGGAGCACATGATGTGGTGACCACTACATCATGTGCTCCTGATAGATTATCTTTTATACATCCATCCATTACAGCCTATTAAAGTCTACTGCTCAAAATAGGCCTTAGGATATTTGCCATAGATGCCACACTTGGAAAGCGGGTTGGCAACAGCAGTTTTTTTATTTTTAGTAGTTATTAGGAAGATGCTGCTG